TCATGTTCTTCACCTAAATGCTGGTTACATGGGTGTGATCAGTTTGTAAAAATTGATTAAGCTGTATATGATATATGCACTCTTCTGTATCTATATTATTTTTTGATAAAAAGTTTAAAAAACATCCATGTAAACTACTTGATATATAATAAGTATTCAATGGACATAGAGCAAATTACTGTCAGCCGTTACTCTTATCTCCTGCTGAGTGATCACTCTCTAAGACTTTAACATTATTCCCAAACTTAAGGAAAACAAAGAACAAGAAAGAGAAATGCTCACTGAGGGCAGCTTCAATGAGCACTCAACAGTTTGGAGATTTGTACTTAAAGGCTGGGAAATTATGCTAAATAGATTACTTTTGCTATTGTCTCTTATGCTTAGAGAGGTTCCCTCTACAAATGCTAGTGCACATTTAGAATCAGTTGCATTTCCAGAATTTCTCTTCTTAGGGGATCATTTTATTTGGAAAGGGAATATTAGAGGCTTGTTGGGAAGCTGAGTCAGCATAGCACTTTAGATTGAGGCAGAGTCAAATGGCCATATTTGACTTGAGGTGGAGGTGAGGATGGTGAGGTTGATGGAAATGATGCCTTCCCATATCACTACTAATGTGGAACAAAGTTCCTGAAAAAAGAGGGAAAATTCCAGCAGAGCTGAACTGGCATGGTCCAGTGTTATCATAATACCATAGCTCAATCTTGACCCAGCACTCCCAGCAAGGTCATCTCAGAAACAACTGGGTTTTCGTGCATGCCTTACCTACCTCAGAATGACTAAGGCCTATTTAAACCTCATGGTTGGTTAATTATTAATAAAGATTTTTGACAAACGAGTAGAGCAAGCCAAGAAATAAGTGTGGCTAAAAATTAGCTCGGGAAAGCTCATATTTCTTGCAAATGCAGGGTTTGGTGTTGCTTTTATTTGTGGGTATAATTGTGCAGAATGGAACCAAATGAAAATGTGATTCTATTGGAGAAGCCAATGCATCTCTTTTTTTTTTTTAAAAGATGACCGGTAAGGGGATCTTAACCCTTGACTTGGTGTTGTCAGCACCACGCTCAGCCAGTGAGCGAACCGGCCATCCCCATGTGGGATCCGAACCCGGGGCCTTGGTGTTATCAGCACCGCACTCTCCTGAGTGAGCCACGGGCCGGCCCCGAAGCCAATGCATCTCTGATTTTATTTGGACCCTCTTCCACCCTCACAGTCATCTTGAGGGCTATAGGCCTCTGTCACCTTTGCTGAGAAGGCTTCAGTCCTGTCCCATGCAGGGTTGACCTATGGACAGTGGGGACACCCTGCCAGGCACTTGCAGCTACTATATGACCTCAGAGAGGAAAGGATAGAAGGGCCCAGAGGCTAGAACCTAGATCTATAGAAGAGTGGGCAACCCTAAGAGCCTTGGCTGCCCCTACAAACTCTTCTGGGCAAGATCAGGTATGGTAGGGGTCCCTTGAGGCCAGGAAGGCAGCAGGGAGGGAACCGCCGATAGGGAAGCTCTCAGATGCACCATGCTAAAGACAATCCCTCAGCTTGGGCGGTGTGGATGAGTGCAGGGCTCCCTCCACCGTTTTCTCTAAGTCCTAAGAAGGAATGAAAGTTTCTTCCCGCTTGATTATTGGCTCCCGGCTTCCTTGGCATAGGGACCTGATCTCTTCCTTCCACAGTTACCACAGGGCCATGAACCGCGTTCAGTGTTGAACGGAACAAAGGTTGAGCTGCTTCACGCCAGTTCTCCTTCAAGGCAGCCCCACAGAAGTGCCTCCAGGGACTTGACTATACCCTGTTCTTTTTCCACTGCGCCAAGGCATTTCCTGTGCCCTCTTCTCCCTGCTCATCTGTCCTCATTCCTACTCACTCATTCTGTACATCTCTGCACAGATGTCACTTCTTCCCTTGCCCAATTTTGGGTGGGTGCCCTCTCCCATAAAACACTGTCTTAACAAGCCTGAGAGTTTCTGGAAGGCAGAGAGGGTCGATTTTGTTGACAGTTGTCTCTCCAGTGCCTCCTGCTGTGCTAGCATAGAGTTGGCACTCAACAAATGTTTATTGAATACATGGGTGAATAAAAGAATAAAAAGGCTTAAAATGGAAAGGCTTGATGGAATCAATATAGAGAAATGCATTCACACTGGCGTAAAAAGGGGAAAGGAAATAACTTCCTAGAAGATTACCTACAACGTACCAGGCTTTTCTACATTCCTTAACTCATCTGATTTTCACAATAATCTTATGAGATCAGGATTATTATCTCTCTTACCAATTAAGAACAGGTGCTCAGAAAGATGAGGCACCTTTTCCAAGCCCACAGGATTGGTAAGTAGCAAAGCTGGGGTTTCACCCCCAGGCATTCTGACTGCAAACTCGTTTGAGTAGGTGCTTGCTCGTAGAGGTAAGTATTTGGGCAATCACATTTTTCCAGATTTATTGATGTGAGGAGTTAGAAAACAGAGAAATACTGTGTACTGAGAAAGGGAAGACCAACAAGGAATAAGAGAAGGAAAAGGCTGTATCTTTTCCCATAACTTTGACCTTGGAATTGAAGCAAAACATTTTGTGGATGTCTCCTGAGTTATATTTAAATCCACCCTAGCTTTGGCTTTGGGGGATCAGGGATGGGGAAGGTGTAAGGAAGAGGTAGGACAAGGATAAGGTGAGAACACCTGTGTCATCCTACTCAGTAATTTTTTAAAAAGCTGAAGAAGTATTTTTAGGGTCCTGGTATCAAAGTGTCATTCCATCAAATGAGCCATGCCAAAAGGTCACACCTCGTGATTAAAAAACAAAAACAAAAATAACCCTGATATAAAGGCTGAGTGCCCAGACTTGATAATAAAGATAATAAAGATAATACCATGATAATTATCACGATGATAATACACAAGAAAAATCATACTATGTTTTCTAATTGTTCTGACTTTCAAATAAACAAGTGCTTATGTATGCTATCCTGACAGATATTTTTGGAGTAAATAAATGGGGCACCTATTCTAATGAAGAACCGGGAGGGTGTAGTTGGTTTCCTGAAAGTTCTTTGGCCGAATTCCTTACAATTACCGGTGTAGACATTATTTACTAGCCCCCCGCCCCTCACAGCAGCTACGTCTTCCAGGCTGAGAACGGGCATTTTCAGCCTTTCTACCTTCAGTTCCCATTCCCTAAGCTACACGTAAAGACACACTAAAAGCTGACAGACAGGAAACTACATTTGTAGAAAAGCTTTCCTTTTCTTGTTCTGAACTCTGAAATAGGTCCTTGGCATGTCTTGTTTCCAGGGTCAGTGTGCTGTTAGAAGGAATCTGGGACTCGGAGTTCAGATTTGAGTCCTGGTTCTTACCTCGGCTAGTCACCAAGCTGCCCAACCTACTTCACTGGGTTATTGTGGGGTCCACCTGAGATTATGGAAGCCAAAAGGCCCAGCGAGCTACATAACCAAAGTATTTCTCCTCACCCAATGTACTATTGACCTCATTTTGTCTGTGATCTCCCACTAGAGTGTAGCTGCAGCACTTAGAACAAAGCCCAACACCTAAAAGTACAATACATATTTTCTATGATCGTTCATTCTTTCTCTAACAAGATCAATCTAACTTTGAATGTGAATCTGCAACTTGTAGGGTGTCTGTACTTCTTTCCCAGAATAAGAAGGAAACAGCAGATCCCATGACCCTTAAAAGCACTAATGATCTGTCAACTTGGGAAATTTCCTGGGCTGCTCTGCCTCTAAAAAGGCCTTTATCGGGCCAGCCTGTGGCTCACTCGGGAGAGTGCGGTGCTGATGACACCAAGGCCACGGGTTAGGATCCCATATATGGATGGCCGGTTTGCTCACTGGGTGAGCGTGGTGCTGACAACACCAAGTCAAGGGTTAAGATCCCCTTACCGGTCATCTTTTTTAAAAAAAAAACAAATAAATAAAAAAAATTAAAAGGCCTTTATCTGTTTAAGAGGAAGCAGGAAGTTAGAATTCTAAGAAATGCAGGTTGGGACACAACACCAAGTCAAGGGTTAAGATCCCCTTACCGGTCATCTTTTTTAAAAAAAAAAAACAAATAAATAAAAAAAATAAAAAGGCCTTTATCTGTTTAAGAGGAAGCAGGAAGTTAGAATTCTAAGAAATGCAGGTTGGGACGCTATAACCCAGGTTCAAAATTAAGAAGGTAAAATTCTTAATTTTCATCACGGGTAATGCCA